TTGATGTTTCTACTTGACCACTTGTCTGAGGGTGGTACAGAATAGCGACATTGTGATAGATCCCATGCTTTGACAAGTAATTATGAAAATTCTTGTTGGTGAAGTGAGTACCTCCATCACTAATTACCATCGTTGGAACTTCGAATCTTGGAAATATTATCTCTTCAAACATCTTGGAGTTCTTTGCATTAGCAGCCTTGCATGGCATGGTGTCAACCCACTTGGAGACATAATCAACTGCCACCAAGATATATTCACAGTTTTTTGACTTCGAAAAGGTCCCATGTAGTCGATTCCCCAGACATCGAAAAGCTCAATTTGAAGGTTGTTGGTGAATGGCATGGCATCTCTTGAATTGATATTCCCGTGCCTTTGACATGCTCCACACCTTTGGATGAAGTCCTTCGTGTCTTCATACAGGGTTGGCCAAAAGAATCCACTTTGCTAGATCTTTGAATGAGTGCGGAATGCACCATAATGTCCTCCATATGGTGATGAGTGGCATCGTTCTATGATCTTCATGCCTTCTTCCACCGGTACACACCTTCTGAGTAGGCCATCAGAGCAGACCCTGAAGAGGTACGATTCATCCCATATGTGGAGACAACTTTCGTAGATAAGCTTCCTTTTATTTTTCCCTGGTGGCACATAACTTGCAACCTTAAAGTTAACAATATTTGCATACCAAGGGTTGGATTTTGTGACCTTGAAGAGCATGTCGTCCCGCAGCAAATTATTGATGGGCAGTTCCTGTGAATTCTCAAACTGCATTCTGGACAAGTGATCGGCAACAGAATTTTCTACTTTTTTATCTTTTATGTCTAAGTCAAATTCTTGGAGTAAAAAATTGATCTTATCAATTGAGGCTTAGGATCTTTCTTAGTGAGCAAGTATTTTAAAGCAGCATGATCAGTATAAACAATCACCTTAGCTCCTAATAAATAAGATCTAAACTTATCAATAGCAAAAACAACAACCGGGAGTTCTTTTTCAGTTGTTGCATAATTAAGTTGAAGTCCTATCAGAGTTTTGCTAGTATAAGCAATTGTATGATGTTTTTTATCTTTAGTTTGTCCCAAAACTACCCCCACAGCATAATCACTAGCATCACACATAATTTTAAAAGGTAGCGACCAATCAGGGGGTTGAATGATTGATGTAGAGATGAGTGTTTTCTTAAGAATGTTAAAAGATTTCAAACATGCATCATCAAATTTAAAGGGAACATCCACCATCTAGTGATGGTTCTTTGGGGGATTAATTCATTCTTTTCATTTTTAACAACAGTCATGCCTCCCTTTTTAGGCACAACTTGAGCAGGGCTAACCCACTCACTATGTGGCATAGGATAGATGATCCCGGTGTGCAAGAGTTTCAAAACCTCTTTCTTAACAACCTCTCTCATTGCATTGTTAAGCCTACGCTGGGGCTCCCTAGAAGATATAGAGTTAGGATCTATAGGGATGCGATGGGTGCAAAGAGCAGGGCTAATTCCTTTAAGGTCTTGGAGCGAGTAACCAAAAGCAGAACGATGCTTTTCTAAGACAGTTAGCAAGCGTAGGGATTCTTCCTGAGAGAGTTTATTGCTTATGATCACAGGAGAATCTTGATCATTATCGAGAAAAGCATATCTAAGACTAGAAGGCAGGGGTTTAAGTTTAATGGTGGGCTTATGTGGTTCTAGCAATTCATCAAGGGGTTCAGACTCCATAGGATTTTATTCTTCTTCCTCGATGAAGAACTGAGCATCATCTTCAAGGTTGGGTTCAATCAAGTCATCAAGCGATGCAACCTTAACCTCTTCCATTGGATCTTCCTCGGGAATTGGCTCAGTCTTAGCATTTAGAGAATGAGTAATGGGTACAGAAAGCTTAATTTTTTCCCAAGTCTTATATTCAACTTCCCCATTTGTCCTTCTTGAATAAGTCTTTTAATTGGTTGTCCTATCAATAGGTCAAACTCCATAATATCAAAGATGTGGAAGCTCATATGAACCTTAGTTCCTTTTACCTGGATAGGGAGGACATACAAAATTTCCAAACTTGGGAGAATGTGTTTCGAAAGACTTTTCAACAACTTTGTTGTTGGGGTCAATGGCATGCGTTTCAATAAATCATGAGCAAAAGATGCAGACATGATATTAACACCCACAACAGGATTGTAAAGAGCATCGAAAGGAGCCTTATTAATTTGGCAACGAATGGATATAGAAGGTGAACCTAAGTGAATTGCATCAGAGGAAAGCTCTGATTCTTCTAACCATTTATTGCTTATAATAGACACTAGCTCTTTCTTAGTCTTTTTAAGGAAAGCTTCCTCAGAAGGATCTAGAGGTTCTTCATGCAATGATTTCCTAGACTTCTGGGGTCTCCTTATGGTATGGTAATTCAAGGTATTTCCATATTCATCAAAAAGTTCATCCTCGAATTAAAACATGAAGTCCAAAATCGGAGTTTCCTCCTTTTCTGGTGGTTTAGGATTTATGATAGCTAAAGTTGGTGATGGATTTGGTAAAGATTCAGGTTCAGCTATCTGGGATTCTTCTTCTAATGGCTTCTCTTCTACTTCCTCAGGAATGTTCTCTAAGATTTTCGTAAGAATGCTTCTCCCCGCATTGGCGGAGACATGCAAGAACGAGCCTCCTAAGGCCATATTACGAAGCTTCGAGGTTTTCCTATCAAGACCCATATAGAAGTGTTGAAGAAGAATAGGGTCTTGAATGGCAAGGTCAGGACGAGTATTAATGAGAGTATTAAAGCATTCCCATGCCATGCCTAGAGATTCTTTTTTCTTTTGTTTAAAAGATAGAACCTCTGAACAAAGTCTGACTACCCTAGAGATGGGGAAAGAATTGCAAGCAGAAGCTAGAGCACAAGGCTTCCTAATCTCCTTGTCTACTCCCTATGGTGAGATTGTACCAACGTTTAGCTTTTCCTGTCAAAGAGAAAGGAAAAAGCTTCCATCGTAAGGTTTCGTCTGACAAGCCTGCAATGTGCATGCATGCACATATCTACTCAAACTTATTTAGATGGGAATAGGGGTTTTCATCATCTTCGCTCGAAAAGGGTTGATCCTGAACCATGTTGATTAAACACGGGCGTAGCTCATAGCCAGGTGTTAGGATAGGCTTTGAAGACTCATTTGGCTATAGACTTGCGCTCGTGGGTGCACCATATTGGTAGGTAGGGGTGGATTCTAGATCCATGGTAAAAAGAATAAAAGAATAATGATACAAGGATAAGCTAGGTTCGAAGTTAACTTAGCAACCGTTTCTCCGGCAACGGCGTTAGAAATATTTGTTGGTATAAATTAATGCACACAGAATAATCCACAAGCGCATGGATATTATACCGATGTAGCACTTCATCGGGAGTACCTAGTTTTATATCAAACTTGAGGAAATGTATGTGAGAATAACCAAATCTAACTTATCCCAACTTCACAATCAAAGCTAGATAATCGAAGCGTAGAGGGGATTGTTAAGGTCTTCTAGTTCTAACTTCGGTAAGCTTTGTCTTCTATTGTTCAATTCTAGAGAAAACACAGGCAAAGTATATTTCCTATATCAACAATGTCCAGCTAGGCCTACTAACGGGAGGTGGACTACAAAGGATTCAACGAGGCTATAAGAGTCACCCTCGCGAGCTACCACCGATCCAAAAAAATAGAGTACATCCACGATTAATCAAGTCTAAGCACCATGCTTACACTATGAATACTACTTTAACCCAGGAGCTACAAGGATTAAAGTACTCAAAAGAGAGTCACAAAGCTGAAGAATAATATGAACAAGATGCTTACTTGAATTAGAAGTTGATTACCAGACGAACTTGATTCCGCCAGGGTACAAGCCGTAGAGAGAGCACTGATAGGCCAGGACTCCTCCAAACTCTTTCCTCTCACTCTGTCTCTCTATCTCTAATACAAGACTAAATCCTATTGAGGACTAATCTTCTCTTGATTGCTAGCCTTGATCCTGGTGGACATATGAATTAGGGTTTCTGGCTTCTCAGCTCTCAAGATCAAATGAGACATCTACCCTGGGGGTTGCAGGCTGGTATATATAGGCCAGAGCATCAATCCTGAACCCTCGGATTAAACCGACTTGAACAAATGGCGAAGATACAATCCTTAAGGCGGTGGAAAACCGATATAGCAATGGGAGGCTAACATGGCGGGCCCACAGGTCGTCCGGCCTGTAGGTGGGGCTAGCCAGCCCAAATGTTAGGGGCACGGGCTCCGCTTTGGTGGAGAGCCTCCTGTAGTCTTCTAGAGTCTTCCCACGTCAATTACGCGGCAGAATTCCATAATTTCCTTTGACGAATAGGTCCTCCTTGACGGTTTTCTGATTAAATCCTGCCAGAAACACAGATTCACCAAAACTCATGAAATTTGTCAGTTTAAACCCCTAAGTCTACATTGGTGATCCACTTTAGCTATTTATACAAGTTATATTGATGGTTTGTGATGAATGTTAACTAACGTCAACAACCACCCTTAGGACCATACATGGAATCATCTTGATAGTGAAGTTTGGGTATTTCACCCGCCAACAACATGGGAAAACTAGCGACCAATTTGCCCTTCTTCATTCTGTGGTAATCCAACCCCACTGCAGTAGCAAGATCGCTGAAGGTAGCCTCGAACCTGCGAGAGCCCGTTATCCACATCAACTTCACCTGTTCAGCATGGACCTCCAAGGTAGCATAAAACTGACGGATCATAGTCTTATTCCAGCCATGACGAAATCCAAGCGGCAAGACTGAGTGGACAGGTCTGTTCCAAATTTGCTCCACCAGCTCATTGAAGCCTTCCATCTTCACCCAGAAATTTTCAAAGCCGAAGGAGGGATTTTTGTAGTGTTCGATCTCTCCCTGTAGCAGGAGCGGCATATGGTCCGACATGAGAGAGGGGAGTGAGTGGAGGAAGTATGTTGGGAAGGTCAGTTCCCAATCCGGGATGCAAAGCAGCCTATCAATCCTTGTAAGCATCTGCCTATCCTATTCATTGCTCCAGGTGAAACGCCGGCCATTGAGCCTTAGCTCCTTTAGATTCAGCTCATCAATTACCGCTTTGAAGGCCCCCATGAGACGACGGTTTAAATTTGAATTGTTCTTGTCTTCCGCCTGGTAGATGAGATTGAAGTCACCTAGGATTAGCCACCTCCCGTGTGCTGGCCTGGGGATAGCTTTGAGCTCTTGTAGGAACTGGAGCTTTTCGGTGTCCCCTTGTGGTCCATAGACCACTGTTATCTGCCATGAGGTCCCATCTGCTCTCATCGTGCAGGTTGCCGTTACAGCGTTTGTGGACAACTGCTGGCTGGAGAGGTCGCAGAAATCCTCATTTACCGGCAGGACGACAAAATTGTTTGTGAATTTTGCACCCACCAAGCGTCGCACAACAGCCTGGTCCACGTTCTGCAGTTTCGTCTCTTGGAAGCAGACGATGGTGGCAGCCGTGTCTTTTACTAGTAAGTTTACTGCATCTTGCCTCACCACATCATTGAGGCCTCTCACGTTCAACATAGGATGTTGTAGTTACGTTGCGACATTGGAAACATATGTATTCCCTGTTGAAAGCATCTGGAGATTGGCTGGGCCGGGAAGACAGCAACAAATAGTAGGTTGACAAACTCCAGCTGTCCAGAACATTTGATATTGGCTGAGACGCACAGCAGCTGGCAAAATGAATGCCATCGGCCGCCAAGACAGCTGGGCGAAGCCTTGGTGCAGCTGTGACAGTGCAACGACACAAAGGAACATGGCAACAATGAACTTGCAGAGGCTGCTCCGGTGTAGAAGGGCCCCTGGCCGACGCCTTTGCATCCTTCACACAGGAAGATGGGCTGCAGAAGAAGACAATCCTATTGCGGCGACGAAACAAATAATTTGTACTTAACATGGGTACAGCTTGGAGCCCTTGGGACGAACGTCAAGCTTATGCCTGGGAGCCTCCTGCACCAGTGTCTCCGTCGAGGCCGCAAAGCGCTGTCAGCGCCTTGATCGACAAGTCTGAGAGAGGGCCACCGAACAGCCTGAAGTAGTCAAGCATCGCATCATCCTCCGAGCGGGCCTCATCTTCCTTGAAGCCGAGCTTCTTCATGAGCACTTGGCGCGCCTTAGCCTGTGCATCTCCCCGTGGCCAAGACGCCGCAGCAATGCGTACGCTCTTGCGCATTGGAGTGAAGGCGTGCTTCCTTCCACGCTTAGCCCGCACTGTCAGTTGTGGTGGTTCCTGCAGCAGCGGCTCGGCGGTCTGAAGCGTGACGCTGTTGACGAAGGTGGCTGCCGCGTTCAGTTGGGCCGGAGCAGCCGTCGCCGTGCGATGCACCCTTGGGAAGCGCCTGACGTAGACACAGTTGGGGCGGAATATCTTATCTGCAAGCAAATCCATGTCCAACTCCAGGAAAGATCTTGGCGAAGTATGGGACCTGCAACCATTAACAATGTCACGGATCTCCACATATAGATGTAATTGTATCCAGTGTTACTGACTTACTGTGTTGTTAGTAGGAACTCAGCACATTTCTTTGACGTAAGGTATTCACAAACTGGTACACTAGTTTTGGTGGTGTGGCCATGTCATTCTGAGCTCCAAGGATCTCAATTGGGCATTTGACCTCAGAGTTTTTGATTCACTTAGCTTAGGGATTTAATAACGCAAGGGTAGTTTCACAAAAGTTGTCCCAATCAATGCACACTCTGCAAGGCTGTAAATACAAAATGAAGGGCACACCTTTCATATCTTCAGCCGTCACTGTTTTAGGATGGGAAATGCAAACTACTTCTATATCGTCTGTTTTTGCTATCTCAACACCAAATTTTCCTGGCGATAAGAAGCAATGCGTTGTCAGAAGTAGTATGTTAAATGCGTTGCCTCAAAAATGTTGTTGAAAATGAAGACTAATTGTGCCAAGCTTGCCGACTAATAGTGTTTGATAAGATATGGCTTCACTCACCACCCCAGCAATAACCACCAACAGCAAGTCTTTCCTTCTTACAGGACTTGATGCCCTCCTGGAGTTGCTGCGCAGGTTATAGGGGTGGAAGAGTAAAGGACGTGGTCTGTACTCTCGACGTCGGCGAGGGACCGTGGCGGTGAGAGTGTGGCAGCTGCTGCTGCCACCTTAGAGTACCCGTGGTGCTACAGTAAAGAGGTACTGTTCATGTGAGGGAGAGAGGGCAGGGACGGCTGGCTCCTAAGGGAAGCCAGCAACTTAATTGTTGCTTTCTGCTTAATTCCAATCATCCTAGATTATAAGTATTTATCCTTTCCTATAGATACTATAATTAAGGAACTATATCAATATCTAAGAAAATACCAAATAAACGATAAATTGGGCCTCTAAGCCCCTTAACAGAACCGGCCCCCTAGCCACTATTGGGTCTGCGCCTGGCATAAGGGATGCCGGTCATAACACCTTCCTTCCTCAAAGCAGCAAAGAGTGGCTTGGCATCTTTGGCAGCATTTACCTGTCAGTTTGATTCGATAATGTTAAAAATGAATTCATATTACGACGAGCTTAAGCTCAACTGAAAGGGATATGAGAACTACTTATGACAAGTGACAAGAGTCTAACATAAACCCACGACAAGTAAATGGAACAAACCGGGGAGTGAAACTTATTCCACTCTGTAACATTTTTGCTTGTGTCGTAAGGATCTCCATTAAAGAAATCCGGAACCACGACAAAGTTTCCAGCCTCAGCAACTTCATCGACAATCGTTCTGTATTATAAAACATAACTAAGAACTAATTAGCATTCAAGCAATTCAAGAGAGGCGTGTGCACGCTTTTGTTTATGGATTATGTGGTGAAAGTTCATTATGATGTCGATATTTTAGGACTCCAACAACCATCCAATCAATAAAATGTACTGCTAGCTAACAAATTTACAAAGCAAGATTGCTGAGCGTTTGGTCAGTTAATAAAACTGAAGATACTCTTGTTGACAAAGAACAGAGCCTTTTCTTTGTTTCCTCTTTCTCTGTTTCTTTCACGTATCGGCCAATGTGACCCCTTAAATTCTTCAAGTATATAACCAGCTCAACAAAAAATTTCTGTTGGTTCTGAAGTCTGAACATAAGTGAAAGATTACAAGGGGAACAAGAAGGAAGTCAATTAAAATCTAGGAATGGAAGTGAAGGTGAGACATGTTTGTATACCTGAGTATAGGCCCCTCGAACCCTGAAGAAACCAGTCAAAGAAAACATAAAAGTTTGCTGTCAAAAACCACCGAGAAAAACAAACAAAGAGGTAGCGTACGTGATGATATATTATGGATCTATGCACCAACCGAAGGCGTCAGAGGCGAGAACGACGGCGCGGCCGGACTCGGCCGTGCCTGTGACGTAGGCTCTGAAGCCCCCTGGTAGGTCGGCGACGACCTCGCCTGACTCGCCGGCACGCAGAGACAGCTGGTCTGGCGGGTTGAGGAGGCATTGCGAATGCTGATGGTGAGCTGGGACGGCTGTTGCCGCCGCAGCAAGCACGACGGCGACGAGGCAGAGGAAAACCTGCGCGGAGGCCATGGCGCTCAGACCTTAAGCTTGGCAGCGCTTGTATGTTGCGGTTGGCCGGTTGCCACGCGCTGCTGCGTCGCACAGAACCTAGCTAGCAAGGTTATGCGGCGTGGACCGTGGAGAGACGCCAACTGGCATCACACCGACGCGGTAGTTTTCATGTCGCCATCTCAATTAAGGGGGCTTTAATTTGTTTATAAGGAATTCGAGAGATAAGAACAGAACGCGAGAGTTAAATTAAACCACAGAGGCTAGCGCCCAGACGTCTAGACGGATGGCCGTGTCTGCACCCCATCTCTCCTGTGCGCCCCCCTATGCGGGGCCCGTGCTGCCTGACCCACCTGACTGCACGTGGTGGGAGTTCCCGCTCACGCCCTCTCCGCTTCTCATGCGCATGCACACGGCCAGCAGCTAAAGTAATCACTATGTAAAAAAACCATATCACAGACGCGCGTTAAGAAACATTACAGACGCAAAAAAAAACATGTCTGTAATAAGGTACTAATGCAGACGCGTCATATGTACAAGCGTTTGAGTGAATGCAAACACGCGTTTGAAATAAACTGAACACGTGTCTGTACCAAAAGTTATTTTCGACGCGTGTTACAGAAAAGCGTCAGTAGGCGTTGTGTCTGAGCGACTGTAGTACAATAAATACTACAGACGCATGTTATGTCTGAGCGACTGTAGTACAATAAATACTACAGACGCGCTATGTCACAACGCGTCTGAAGAGTTTAAGAATATTGTAGACGCGTGTTGTAACAAGCCGTCTGTAGACTTTCAAAAAACTACAGACGCGCCTTCTTAAAACGCGTTTGCAAGACTTTCAGAAGACTGCTGACGCTCGTACTCGCAACGCGTGTTCAGAGTTTCAGAATACTACAAACGCTCTTTCGTTACATTCGTCTGCATTACGAAGAATACTACAGACGTGTATACTTAGCACGGGTCTGTAGTATTTCTTTACCATAGACGCGTCTGCAACCTATACACATCTGCCCAAAGCAGACCACTAATATCACAATTAATATATACATATAAATCAGACATGTAGATCTCACAAAAATGACATCACATTTCAAAATTGTTTACTTAATAAGAACAAAAAATTGTTACTGATGTGTTCATCACACAAACAAATTAAACAGATCCACAGTAGGTCAAACCAAACAAATCAAGCTCCCAAACACCCATACAAAGTCCTGTGCATATGATTCCAATGCATTCAAACAGCTGCTTTATGAAACTCGCCTTTTTGGTTGATGATCTGCGACACAATGAACATGGCAATCTTCTCTCTAATATCCTCTAAGTTTATTCGAGTGGTCCACACTTCAAATTCCTGTAATGTAGCCATGAGATGATGTTGTACAATTAGTTTATGTGCATTAAAACATACATCTAAATACTATGGAAAAGGCTATTTATCTAGCACATAACTATATATTCAGACTAATATATATGCAGCTATGATAGCAGCAGTACATTAATTGTGCACAAGGCTATTCCAGCAGCAGCAGTAAACATCAACTTAGAGATTGTTATGGTGTCCTCACTGGGATGAAAGAAATTGCTAACGACTTAAGCTCTAGAAACAATAAAAAAGGACATGAAAGTGCTGAGACTAGATATTATTCCTTCCGTCCAATAAAATCTCATTAGACTATCACTTTGGTTACCCTTTGGGACAACCTTAAGTTTAGTCTCCTTACTTCAGTTTAGGCTCATCCAAGTTGTTCTTCTCAAAAATATTTTCTACGTGTTACTTACCTATTTAGATGCATGTTACCTACTTAGCTACATAAACACACATACACAGCCTACCTGACAGTTGTTAAACAATAGCATAAGGTGGCTACACTTTCTCCTAGACAAATGTATAGTACCATCCAGATCGGACCCAGGCAAAAGACAGGGATGCTGAGCCTTGGAGTTTTCAGCATTGGAGGATCTAGTGTCATAATCAACGTCAAACAACAACTAATAAGTAAATATATATCTATCGTACCTCATGAGAATCCAATTTGGTCTACCCCATCGCAAGCATCAAGTTGTGGGCCGTATAGAACCCACAAGTGTTGTCCAGACCTTGTTGCTAGCACTGCGAACATATCAAACACATGGTAAGCTAGGGAATTGAAACACAAATTTGATCACATTTGAAAGTGAAGCACTACTTACTGCAACTTTGGTGGCATGGGTCAACTTAACATTTTTCAGCATGTTCTTCGCTTTCGGTACGGATTTGCCAAAAGCCCTAAACGAACATGAGTTGTTGTCACATTTTTTTGAGTTTGAATAACATAATTAACAAAGAAACACATGTGTCAATAGTAGGTTAGAAAACACTCACTCATCTGTCATAGATTTCAACTCACTCAAATCTGTCTTCCTGCCTCTATTGGAGTCGAGGTACAAGACCTCCTGCCACTTGGGAATGATGATGACAGCAATCCAGTGCACATCACAGTTATGCACAAACATCACATAGTCTTTCTTGGCATGTTTCTTTAGGCTTTTTTTTCTAGATACGACACGCTAAAACCTCTATCCCTGGTCATGCTGTCTATTGACAATGGATCTGGATCAAGAAGGCCAACCGGCACAGACGTGTCCCTAGATTCTACAATCAGGCATCTAGGAATAAAGTAGCATACAAAAGTAATTTAGCAAGGAAATATATGAAGAGCATCCCTACGCAACAATAAACGAGTCTAAAAAATAAGAAATTGTACTTATAGTGTCAAGCAGCGAAGAATGGACATATCCAATGCATCTAGTGTGAAGAGGTCAAACAAATCATCTAATCCCACAATGAAAGGCTCAGTTTCTAAATCACTCAAAATGCTGGTGCTTGAATATACCGACTATCCCATCCGTTCTATTCTCTACACATGCTTTCATGTAGTAGGCATGAAGAGCAACACACCCAAGTCCTACCTTCTCATCATCTATTGCTGATAGAATTGGCTGTATAAATTGGAACTTAGGGTTGGCCTTTATCCATAAAGTTCCAACAGGGGCACTCTTAGATGGTTTGGTGGGTTGCGCCTCCTACTGCTTATGCTTGCCACCCACCTGCTGTTCTGTGTCACTCTTGGCTTTTCTAGGGGCTGACGAAGGTGTCGTTGTAGCACGTGAGGACTTAGTTGGCTTGTCTTCAATAGTGGCACTCTTCACTTTCCCATCTTGTTAGGATGAAACTTTGGCTACCACAAGGTCCTTTAGATTGCTTTTGGCTTACCCATCATAGCCATGCAGTGGAGGTCTTGGTGATCTTTGAGAAGAGAGCACCTTCGGTGATACCACAATGCAACCCCTACTCCACTGGACCCTCTTGAATAGAGCATCTCCAAGATTTGTTATCTCACCACTTGGGGATGGATTTAGCACAATGCCCACATGTTATGGATATACAAAATCAACATGTACAATGGTATATCCATCCTGTACTGGAAGTGAATATAGCTCATTTTGCTTTGGGAATACACGACCTATTGCTACTACCTCCATTTTACCTCCAAGGTTGATTACAAGTGTACATGTTGTTGGCTCTGTAAGAAGGTCCATAACATTCGGATATGGAATTCCACCAAGTCCGTCCAACTATGCATTGCAGACTGCATCTAAGGCTGAGGCACAACTGCTCTGCCAACCACCTACAGAGGTAGGGTTGTTGGAAGGTGACCTCAAAGGCACTCCTTGTTCATGCAGCATGTCCATAATATCCTTAGTGACCTTCGCGGTAACTTCTTGTGTCACTTGGCTCATAACTTCTTTTTTAATGGCTTCCACATCCACATCTGAACGCTTCCTTTTTCTGTACCTGCTGGTGCGATCCGCCAATACTTCCACCCATAGAACTAGACACACCACGCATGCGCCCTATCTGTTCTGGTTGGCCCAAGACCTCTATGAGCACATCTCTTTCCCTGACCAAAGTGAGCCCTGAAGCCTAAAGTTTTGCTTCCTTCTCTAAAATTTGTCGAGCGACACTTTCAGCTATTTTTGTCGCCCAATGAATCTCAGCAGTACCTTCTAAAATAACCAATGTACTTCGTGCACGTAGCCAATTCCAAGGGCGACCAGGAGGATATTTGTCCCAAGGATTACTTATGCCTGTGATGGCTAATTCCCTGTCCTCCTACTCACACTTTTCGGCCATCCCAACATACCCTCCTGTCCCCAGGCAGTGGACATGCTTGTTCCTCTCCCGAAGCTTCTTGTATTTCTCACTTGTTTCCTTTGCTTTTTCGCTCTCCTTTAGTTCCACAAATTTTGCCCAATCTTGACACGGAATTTTTCGACCCTATTGCCACTTGACGCCATTTGCATCACCACAAATTGTGTCTGTAATATGGGTGTGTTTTGCAACATTTGTCCAAAAAGGTGGCAATGGGACTGTGTTGCCACAAAAATAGTGCATTGCAATTTTTACGTTCGGCATAGCAAGAGGTGAAACCTATAGCAACCTTTTTTTGAAAAGTGTTGCTATTGGTTAATAATATTGCCATGATGACATTTAGTTGCATTAGTATTGATTGACATTGCAACTGTCTGGTGCTCTCGCAACCAAATAGAACAGTGTTGCTATTGCTTGAAATTATTGCCACAATATTATTGGGTTGTAATATTTCTTACGACCATTGCAATTGGTAGACCGTGTATTGCAACTAAATTTCTAAGGCGATGTAATAGTGTGTTGCTATTGCCATATATTTTTGTGGGTTGTAATATTTCTAACGGCCATTGCAATAGGTAGTTGTTTATTACAACTAAATTTCTAAGGCGATGTAATAGGTTGTTGCTATTGCCACGGTTTTTGTTGGTTATAATATTTCTCACGACTATTGCAGTAAGGAGTTGTTTATTGCAACTAAATACCTAAAGCAATGCTATAGTATGTTGCTATTACCATATGTGTGTTTGGTTGCTATAGAATAACATGTGTTGTTGCAATATGGTTTGGTGGGCCATTGGGTGTGAAGGGCTAGGAAAACAGCAAT